ATTTTCAATTTCTGTCTGTAAAGAGAAACAAATACTTAGTCTCAAATTCCTTAGGAAGAACAGGATCAAATACATAAAAATGATGTCTCTGCAGAAATAGCCCATGTTTTCCAGATCACAGATGCAAACATAAAGCATGGAGAATTGCAGAGAGCCATGGTCTATAGATTAGTTAGAACTGGAAAGCTCTGAAGATCAGGGGTGCTTTTTTAAATATAATTTTATTTTTTCTATAATTTTACCAATTATGTAGTAACACTACAGGGCTACGTTAAAAAAAAAAAAAAAAACAAAAAACAAAAAACAGCAAAACCAAAAAGCTTAAGCCTAACTGTAATCTTTCCGGAACAGACAGCCAAGAGAGAATCAATTCCTATAGGTGAAGTACATTATCTGCAGGATGATACTAAAACTATAACAAAGAAAGCAGATGGCATGTGCTTTTATTACATGTTCTTTGTAAAAGCTTTTTTCCCTGACTTTATACTTCTATTCAGTTTCAAAATTAACCAATACATCACAGACTATGAAGAATATGTTTTCCAATTCTAAAAGGTTTGTGGAGAAATCAGTACTTCTACTGCTCTTGATGCAGCATTTATTGATCCTCCAGCCCTTCAAATCCACCCTTTTAACAGTGTGGGTTTGTTTTTCTCTGGCATTGTTGTAATTCCAGTAACATCCATTCCAGTTTCTCCCAGATCCTTTAGGTACATACTGTGTAACTACAAGTCTAAAGAAAACAACAATATTGCATCTAGCAGAAAAAGAAAATTGTATCTCTATGACAATAAACAAGACAATACAGGCAGGCCAAATCCATTCCCTAATGGAACTACTAATAGACTGTAATTTTCAAACTCCAACAACAGAAAGAAATTATGCCTAGCTAAATATTTGAAGAAATCCCGTATCTTTGTGTGTAATACGTAACACTGAGGAAGCTCCTTTTCTACTCCTCTCTTTTAGTGTTGCAGCAGTATTTTTTTCTATTCAGTCAAGCAGTCTATAGCCATTTGATTAATTTCAGACAATGCATACTCAACTTCATATGACTGGGACATGGGGGAAAGGAAAGAACTCAACAACCCAAAATTACTGACTTATGTCTTAGCAAAACAAACCCCACCAATAATCTCAAACAAACACTTCTGAGAATGAAGTAACTTACCCAAGTTTCAGCATGTTGATCATGTCGAAGTTGACTACATCAAACACCTTCATTGCTTTGTCATCTCCAACAGAACAGAATAATGCCCCCTCTGAACTAACAGCAATACTCTCAATAACACCTGTGAATTAATTTAAGATACTATTAAGAAATGGGAAAGGACATTCTTCATTTCAGTATTACATACTAACAACCTACAGAGGCTTAAACCTGTTTCCCAACTGTTTTGTCACCTTTTCCATTTAAAACTCTACCTGAATTCAATAAACTAATATTTTAAAAAATAAAATTTATAAAACAACACTTTATGGCCTATCATCATTTAGACTCAGGTATGTGATAATGAACAATTTACAAAAAATATAGTAAAATATTATTATGGCAGAAAGTTTAGTTTAAAATGTTGATTTTAGAAAATTGAGAACACTATGATGGGGTAAGCATTATGTGCTCCTCAGCTTGCATCTCTCAACAGGGAAAAAGCAGCAGAACTTTACAGACTATCACACCCACGATACTCAAAACTCCTCTGCAACTGAGCTTTCCATGAAGTTCTCACAATGCTGATTTTCACATGGCAGGTTTTGTCCACACCTTTTGCTTTTATATATAGTAAGAAGCTCATAGTTAAGATCAAAACCAGACTTTAGTATTTCTTGTAACTCTAAAAGGAAACCATGCATTTACTACCTATTTTAAAATATTTCTTACTGTAACATTCTGCATATCAAACTAGATTTTTTTTTTCTTCAGGTATATCGTAATTTTTAATACTGTTGAAAATATAATTTTCTGTCTAGCCTATTAAATGCTTAGCATAGTGTTGAAAACCTTTGCATACTTATTAGCTTAGAAAATTAGGTTGAAGTTTCTTTTAATTGCAATGTCTGATAATTACAACAATAAGGCAGAATTTTCTCTACAGTTACAGTATTCCAGATGAAAATAACTGCTTTTTTTTCCCCACACTTTAAACTTCTCTAGATTTTATGAACACTTTTGTGTATCTTGTTTACTTACATCCCCACAATCAGGCACAAGGCAATGTAAAGGCTTCAGTTTTCATTTTCATGTTTCATTTTTATCCTATCTCATCTACAGCTTGGGAGCAAAATGTAACAGGACAGAAGAGTAAAAGGAAGATTGGCAGACATAATTTAATCTGTGACTGCACAAAAGGAACCCCAGAATCTCTCCCTCTATTGGCACTCTCTTTTCAAACAACAAAGACCAAGGGAGAGAAAAAAGTAAAATCCTTTAGATAAGAAAGAACAAGTTCTCACCCAAGTGACTTCGGAAGTGTTTAACAAACTCAATCCCTTCTTCTATTTTCTTCCAAAATTTTACATGTCCATCATGGCTGGCTGTTATGATAAAATCTGTCCTACAATTAGAAAAGAAAAATAAAGTCAAGAAAACAGATGCACACATTATGCACCTTCCTGCAGGTCTGGTATCTGCACTAGAATTAACACTGTGCAGAGAATGAAATTTCAAGAAATTACTCTGACAGTCTGTCTGAATAGGTACTGTCACTCCTGGAAAAACAAAACAGGCATTTTAGTGTATTCTGGATTAATCTATGAAAAAGTAAAACTGAAGAAAAAATTAACATTATCCTTTTTGAATATGTAAATATAAGTCCCATTTTATGTCTGCTTTCATGGTAGTTACTGTGTGTGTCTGTGATCTCTGCAATTCTAGTGAATGGTATTTTTTCACAGGGAGTAAGTTATTCTTACTCCTGTATCTCCTGCATATTTCAAAAAGAATTTTAAAAAGACCCTCCTTTAGCCTACAAAAACAACTTATATCTTGCTTCTCGGTAAGTCACTTATTTTTTAAAAAAAAAACCCACCACCCTTTAAAAACCACCTCAGGACACTGTAACTTTCCATTATAAAACTTCTACAGTGAAAATTTCTTAGCCTACACAAAAATACAGCCCAGAGAAAGAAATACAATGGAAAAGAAAAACACTTACTTTGTACATGCTACGTGTGTAATAACATCTCTGTGCATGTAACTGCGTTCATACATTGAGGCTGATGGCAGATTTTCCAGATAAACATGTTCAAATTCAAGAACTACACAGAACAGAAAGAAAAGTCAGGATTTTTTTTCATGAAGTCATCTCTACATTTTGTTCTCTTTCACTTATCCTTTTATTGCTTACCTATTTAGTCAAAAATATGCAGGATTTTGTGCAAACATAATTAAAGGGCTTTTAGCTCTGGCTTCACACTCAGACTTACACATTTTCGGTGGACTAAAGCCACTCAAATGCTGCTTTAACTCATATTGCTCCTCCCTCTTAAAGCAACTGTTACAGTAACTGTCTTATTATTTTTAAAAAAACCAAAGTCAATCAAGAGTTTTTAAGTTACTGCCAGAAAAGAGAAGGTCATCTGAACCTCATTTAATTCTAAAACCACATGTACCCCTGTTGTTTTTATGAGATTTGTGGTCCCACACAGGTCCTGTAGTCATAAATTTTAAGTTCTGGTATCCACCTATTTCAATGGTTAACTGGCTGACCTAAAAGAATCAGATTGAGTTTTGCTTCTGATTTTTAGATCCTACTTGTTAACACCTGTGCAATGGTGTTTTTTACTGAACTTGCATATTTATATCTGATGAAAATTGTTTTCTTTACTTAAAGAAAACTTAAAGTGACACCCAGAGAGCTGGAAGTTGCTGCACACATCAATACCACATGCCAAAACACAGCCTAGAGGCTGCTCCTGCTGCTCCAGCCTAGGGCAGTGACCTGAAAGATGGATTAACCCTACATCAATAACCAGCACAGCCTGAGCGTGCACAGCAGCAGGGCTCTTAGCCTTAAAGTGTTCTCCAGAAGAAGCAAAAGTCGTAGAATCACAGAGTGTTAAGGAGCTAGAATAAGCCTTAAATGCCACCTAGTCCCAAGCCCCCTCCTACTGGGCCAAGTTGCTCCAAGCCTTATACAACCTGGCTTTGAACACTGCCAGGGCTGGACCGTCCAAAAAATCACTGGGCAACCTGTGCCAGTACCTCACAGTAAAGACTTTTTTCCTTACAGCTAACCTGAATTTTCCCTTTTTCAGTTTGCACCAACTAGTCTTGGTGCTACCACTGCAGTTTCTGTGGAAGCGCCAGCCTCCAGCTTCCCTGCTGGGTACTGGAAGGCTGCTATGAGGTCTCCACGTAATCTTTTCTTCTGCAGCCTGAACGGCCACAACTTTCCCAGGACCAGGCACCCCCGCTCTGTAATTCCGCAGCTGGAGGTTTCCCCCCAGGCGCTCATTTGACACAGCTTCAGGAATCGGGCTCCCGACAGCTTCCCTCCCCCCGCGGCCGCTCCCGCCCGGCGGGGCCTGGAGGCGAGCCCAGCACCCCGACCCCAGTCGCGGCAGAGCTTCATTCCTCCGCTTACCTCTCCTTTTCTTCGCCTGCGCGGCCTCCCCCGGGAGCGGCCCGACCCAGCGCTCCTCCTCATCCTCCTCGTCCGCTGCCGCATCCCCGCCGCCCGCCTCCACCTCCACCTCCGGCGGCTTTCGCTTGCGCTCGGCCGTGGCTGTCACGGCTTGACCCTGGCACAGCGCCAGTGCCTCCATGAAAATACACTTTCTCTAGTGGCTTCTGTGAGATGTGACCAGGAACAGAGCAAAGCAACCTGGGAATAAAGGAAACAAACTTTATTAATTACAACATCTAAAAAGGAACAAACAAAACTAAGAATGAAAACCCTCCAAATACATTCCTCCTCTCATTTCCTCCATTTTCTCCAGAGAATGAAATAACACCATAGATTTCCACCCTGTCACCATCTCTCAGATAATCAGGGCAGGGCAGCTCCGCGCTCCTTCCCGGACCGGAACCGACTGAGAGTTCTCCGGGCTGTTCCTGCTTTTAACCCGCTGCGCTCTCAGAGGCGGTCCGTACCTCCAGTGGCCAAACCAGGTGCCGGTATTCAAATCCAAGCACTGATTGGTCTGACCCAACCTCCCAAAAAACTCACTTCCTTCCTAACCGACGACAGCGCCGCGTCACTGACCCGCGCCGGGCGCTCTGCGAGTGACGCGCGCGCCGCGAATCAGACGGCGGGAAGCGGCCATGGTAGTAACGGGCGGGAGGGGCGGCGGGCGGGTCCCGGGGCTCCCGCAGCGCCGACACCTCGGGGCCGTGAGGCGTTCTCGGCCGCTGCGGCCGCGGGGCTGCTTTGCAGGGAGGGCTTCCCGGCTGGGAAGGGGCGGCGTTCGTCCCTCGGCCGTGAGCGGGGTTGTCCCGCCTCACGGCCTCCCGCCGTTGTGCCGCAGGGGTTGGCGGCGGGGGCTCCCTGTCTCACCGCTTTTGCATGTTGTTTATATCCTGCCGGTATTTTGCTTCTTAAGGTGCCTTCGTGTCTCTGTCACAAACCTTTTGTCGCTTGCCTGTGCCCTCCCTCCCCGTCTTCCCGCAGCTGGCCGCTCTGTGCTTGGTCACAGGGCGCGTTTCGCCCCCTCAGCGGGTGTAAGGGTGTGAAGGGACAGTGCCGGGAGAATGGGCTCGGGCTCTGCTCGGCGGTGCCCAGCAGGAGGACGAGAGGCAATGGGCAGAAACTGATGCTCAGGAAGTTCCACCTGAACACGAGGAAGAACTTCACTGTGCAGGTGGAACAGACTGCCCAGAGAAGTTGTGGAGTCTCCCTCACTTTAAGGTTCGCAGGCAGCATCTGGACACAATCCTGTGCCTTGTGCTCTGGGATAACTCTGCATAAAATGGGAGGTTGGACCAGATGAGCCCCTGTGGTCGCTTCCAACCTGACCCGTTCTGTGATTTTTTCCATAAAGCCTCGGCTAGCATAGAGCCTACACTTGGACATGTGTGTATTTCCTACCTAGTTACATAGTCCTGAAACAATGTAAGAGGGAATAACTTGTTGAAGCTAGAAGACGTTATTATTAATGCCGAAAAAACCTTCAGTTTTCAGGCATGGTGTGGGAATAGAAATGTAATTTAACCACACTGAAATAGAGAAAACTGCAAGCTACAAGAAAATAAGCTTTTGCCTTCCTTCACAGGCTCCTGTCTTTTCAAACCAAGACAGGTGGTTAAAAGCACAGCATTAAGGACGGCTAGTCAGTTTCGCTTGTGAGAGCACTGTCACATCTCACAATATGTACATTTTGAGCTGTTGTGTGAAATTGACCCAGAAATTTAAAGTTAACAACAGAATCATTTCATCATTTTTGTGTGATGGAGATTTTCTGGCTTTCTCTTCAGAGAAGAGACAGGATTATTATTCCATATAATGCTTTCCTGGTGATAAATTATAGCATTGCAGAGGATAAGGGCAGAATATTTTTATCCCACCCCAAGACCCCTTTCAAATTTCCAAAGCATGGGGTTCTTTTTCTCCCCTTTATTTTATTCTTCTCTCTCCCCACTATCCCCCCAGACCGTCTTTGTCTCCTTTTTTGTCTGAGAAAAAACTAGGACTGCTTAGTTTCTTTCTTAGTTTCTTCCTTCTGGGCAGTCTTTGTGGAGGCATTTCAGAAATCCTTATAAATTATGGGAACTGGTTCTGTTTTATTTTATGGACACATTCTAAGACTCTTAAGAAGATAATGATCTTCCTTTCCAAAATCTATGCTGATTAGTTCCCGTAAGATCATGGTAACCTAGATTTTGTCGTGTTCTGTTTTAAATGCAACAAAGTTGCCAGGAAGACTAGTAGAAGTATAGGCTATGTATGAGATCTCTAGTGTAATTCCAGCATTCAGTGAGGTGTTCTGATTTTCTTTCCTCATTTGCTTTGCTGTGAGGTGCTTGAGCTTCGCAAGTGCTAGTAGAGTATTTCACTCCTTTTAAGTAGGAGTTTTGGCATAATTTTCTCTGATGCTGTGTTTTTGTTCTGAAAAAGAATAAAAGATTGCGTTAGTAATTTATGCTTCATTAAGAAGGTAGAAAAGTGTAACTCTTCTCTAGGTCATTATTATTACTGTTTCTGTTTAATATCTGTGTGTTTGGTGGGCCTAATGACCCACCAAGATATTTCTAAAGGCTTCCTGCATCTGGTACATCTAGCCTGTTGGTTGTTTTCCCTGGGAAAAAACCAAAAAATTAGTCCTTCTTATTTTTCCCCTCTTAATTGCTACTGTCATTCATGTATCTCTTAAGTGAGAAACATACAAATTCATAAATTTAATCCCAGCTGTTTCTTTCTGACCCAACAGTTTCTCAAAGTTTTTAATTTAACTTGAATTGATTTTTATTTTGGCTGTCCAGGTGCCCTCCTTCCTTACTTGTCTATATGTCTTTCAGGTTCTTCTGTTTGTTTTTCGAGTAACTTTGAGGGTGCTTAATTTGTTGATAATATTCTGAACTCAAATGAAAGAGAAATAGATTACCATGTTTATTGACAGAGCAGAAGTAACTGCCTAAAAATAAATATTATATATATTTATGTATATATATAATAAATATTGCACATAAATGGAGGTAGAGTGTGGCTTTGTAGATGTGAGATTCTCTAATTGTTTCTGTAATAAAGTTAGTGGAAAATAAAGAAGCCATTGCAAATAATCAAAGCAGTTGTGAAAATGTAGGACTTTGTCATTCAATGTGAAAAGTAAATTATTAGTATCTTCTAATTTTACTTAGTTATTTAGTTAGCTGATTTTACTTAATGGCTGGGTGCTTTCTAAAATTATAGAGGAGTTAGGTAAAAGCTTTGGATTAAGGGAGTTTTTTCTGTTACACAGTTGATCTGAAATGGCAGGTGTGATTAAGTAATCAGTTCCTGTAGCTCTACCTGATAACTGTTCTCTTTGCTTGTTAATAGGCTGAATGTTTATCAGAAATCAGTAACACAGCTGGTCCTGTAGATGGCAAGGAAGAACTCTTGCATGAATGCGAGAGTATTTGGAAGCAGATGGAAGAGGTATGCAAATACAAATGACAGACTAGGTTTATTATAAAGCTTTTTCAGAATTAATCACCACAGGCTTGCCCCACCCCCTCCAAAGAAACCACTTCAATAAAACCAAACCAACCAACCAAAAAAACCCAAAGAAAACATCCACAAACAAACAGAAAAAAAAAGGAAATAATGTCTTCAGAAGAGTCAAATATGGAAGTGCTGGGAGGGGTGAAGAATGCCTTGTAGTGTCAATGTGTTGATGTTATGATTTAGTTAGTGTGGGAGTATATATTAAAATTATGGAAAATGAAACAATTTATCTGTGTTGCGGTAGTTCCAGCATGCAGGAACCCTTCTCTCTTTAGCCTCACAAAAGATGGGATTCCATTTCCTTTGGATCTTAGAGGAGAGAGAGACTAGGAAGACAGAGAGGCAGAGGAGGACAGCGATGTCTCCCTATGCTTACTCCCTTGCAAACTCAGTTATATTGTCATGGTTAAAATTTCTCTCTTGTACATAGTACAATACATTAACAAATAACAGTTTAGGGCTGGTTATTTTTATTTTCAGGGTTCCCAGAAAAGATGAACTTCTCTCAGTTCTTAGGAAATACTGTTCTTCCTTTAAGATTCTGCTGAATTTGATGAAAAATCATATTCTAAATTATATTTTCAGTGTCCTAATCCCTTCACTCAATTTTCTATAATACATGCTATTTGCTTGAGTTCTGAGTTGTAAATTCAAAACAATAAAATACCAGAAATAGAAGTAAAAGTATTTCCAAACTTAAAGTAGAGCAACGTCCGGGCAACTCATAGTGCAATAATTTTATACAAGTTGATTTAAAAAGACTAATGGAATTTATTTCTTGTTGAGTATTCAGATCAGTTCTCATGTAGCAAGTGGCAGGGAATTCTATGTCAGAAACTTAATTCTAAGTTTCTGAACTTTGGTTTGGAGGACCTGAACTTTCTTTGAAATTTTCAAATTAGAAGGGAAATCTGAATGTTTACTATTTTGAATGTAATTGAAAATATTTGATATCTTTTATCTCATTCCCAGCACACCCAAAATAATGCAAGAAGAGATGTGTTATTTTTGGAAGTTGATGAAAATAGTAGGATTTTTTTTATTTGGATTTTACATCCTGGGCATAAAATGTTCATGTTTCAGCAAAATGTTTAAACTAATAGTCATTTAATTAGCTCCTAGGTTATATGGTTGCATGTAATGTTCCAATGATTGTGTGCCATCATGAACAGTTTTTGAGGGAGAAATCCTATACAGTGTTCTGGTATGCGGACGTTAACAGCAAGGTTTCCAAAGTACTGCTTAGTAGTTCTGTTGCTTAGTAGAATACATCCTACCTTGTTATGGGCAGGTTACACTGGTGACAGCTAGAAAAAAAGAGAGTTTAGCAGGTGTCACCTCTCTATGCCTTGGATATTTGTGGTGGGCTGAATTTCAGACTGCATATACACCCCATTGCAGTCATGAGAGCTGATGTATATTCTCCCAAAAAACACTTCTGAACTGTACAGTATACTGCCCTAAATGACTTAAAACTAGAAATACGTATTGTAATATGATTGCTCTGTTTGGAAAGACAGAAGTGTAGCAGAAACTGTGTTAACTTTTCAGCAGCTTCCCTGTTCAGCCTTGTCCATGACTCTCTTCCCAGTTTCTCATGTTCTTTATCTGTTCAATGCCTTTCCTCATATAAACTTTGCCCTCATAACTTGCCTTTTTACTCAAAGAATACATCTTTCTTTAGCTGCTACTTTTCTCCTTCAGAGTTAATTAAGTTCTACTTTACTGTGCTGTGATTTCAAAACTCTTCTTAATTTGCCCTTCTGGGTTAGGGTATAAGGGTTGTGGAAGGACCCAAATTAAAATTCTTTTATTTCTATCTTTAAAAAGTTGTGTTTAAATTTCTAAGAAATGTGTTTTGTTCTTACAAAAGTAAACAAACTTTCTTTGTTTTATTTCTTTTTCTTTCTACCAAGTGTCAGAGCAAGCTAATGCTTCTAGGAACAGAGACACTGGTACCATCAGATGCCAAGGTAAGACAGTAGGTTTTTAAAAATACATTAAAAATACTTTTATAAAAACAAGGCGTATGGAATTCCCCCTCATCATGGATCTTCATCTGAATGCTGAACTGTTGACTATACCTGTGAGTGTGACCATCCAGCCAATTCCTTACCCACTGAGTGGTTTGTCAAATGTGTGTCACAAGAGTTTAGTGACAAGGATGTTGTTCCAAACAGGGTCAAATGCTTTGCACAACTCCCAAATAGATGACATCAGTAGCTCCTCCCTTATGCACCAATGCCTGAATCCTGTTTTAGGAAGCCACCAAATTTGTCAGGCGTGATTTGCCCTTAAAGTCATGTTGCTTAACAGCAGTTCCCTTTTCATTTTCCACATGCCTTAGCGTAATTCCAAGGAGGATCTGCTCCTTGGTCTTGCTAGGCACCGAGGTGAGACTGATCAGTCTGTAGTTTCCAGATTTTTGTTTTTCTCTTCTTAATAATATGGCTTGTGTGTCTCCTTTTCCAGTTGGTGGGATCTTCACCAGACTGCCATGATTTTTCAAATATGATGGATAGTGGCTTTACCACTTCACCTGCCAGTTCCCTGTGGTGGGTTTAATCCTATCTGGCCAGCTTAGCTGTTCATCACTCTCCTCCTCAGCTGGACAGGGGAGAGGAAATATGACTGAAGCCTCAGGAATCAAGATAAGGGCAGATTTTCTCTTACCAGCTTTGAAAAATCCAACTGATAAATGGCTAACATAGGCAGCAAAGTGGGAGGAGAAGGGGGTGTAACTCCAGTACCTGTTTGGACATTTCCTAATCAGTGCATATGTAATTTCTTCTTGTTAAATGTCATTGTTATGCTATCCCTCACAGCATCCTCTGGACATCTGTGCAGCCATGGGATGAGAGGTTCAAAGTGTGCTAGGTGAAGACCTGGCTGAAGCATAGAGCTCAGCAGGGTGCAGTGACTGGGGCTGTGTCTGACTGGTGACCACCCACCAGCTGTGTTCCTCAGGGTGCAGCTCAGTTCTGTTCCATGTGTTTATCAGGGATCTGGATGAAGGATTGGAATGCACCATGAGCTGACTGGCTGATGACTCCAGATGCTGTTGGCACTGTGGAGGAGCCAGAGGCCTTGCAGAGGGATGTGGCTGGCTTAGAGCACTGGGCAGTGCTCAGTGGCGTGGCATCAATAGCAGCACACACAGCGGGGAAGGAGTGGCTGTGGGCAGCCCTGCAGGAAGGGCTCTGAGGGCGCTGGCTGGCAGCGTGCCCGGAGGGCAAACAGCATCCCGGGAGCCCTGAGCATGGCACTGCCAGCCACAGGAGAGGGGATTGTCCCTGTGGTCAGGGCTGTGCTGCCCCGCCCGGCGTGCTCAGCGCAGTGCTGTGCCCCACAATTTAAGAAGGTTGTGAAGGTCCTTGAGTACATCCAGAGGAGGGCAACAAAGCTGGTGAGAGGCTGGAAGGCATGTCCCCTGAGAACTGCTGAGAACCTTGGGCTTCTCTGCTTTGTAGAGAGGGAGCTGAGGGGTACCCTGATTCCTTTACATCTTCCTCAGGGAAGTGGAGAGGGAGATGCTGATATCTTCTCTCTGATACCCAGTGATATAATGTGTGGGAATGGTTCAAAGATATGCAAAGGGAGGTTCATAAATGACATTAGAAAGCATTTCTTTACCTCTATGAACCTTCCTCTAAAGAGCCTTGCCAACTCTGACTCCTTCTCATTTCCCCCTTTTGAAAAAATAATAGAAACATTCCGTGATCCCTATGAATTACTGTAAAATATTTTGAAGGAACTAGTGTTCTATTGTAATAGATGCTCTTTTGTTTTCTGCTGTATCAACAATTCAATTTCTATCCTGTTCTACTTCACTATGTCACTGCAACTCAACACACTTCAAGAGATGCTTCTTTTCTTGTTACACAGCTTTCCTTGTTAATGCTGCGATGGAAAGCTTTAACAGGAGATTTTCGTCAGTGGCAAGCAAGAGATCCTGAATGTAAGTAACTGTTATATAAGCATAAATAATGCTTATATAAACTTCTGCAAAGTTTCTTTCATCTAGGCCATGAGTATATTGAATGTCTTCTGATTGTATTTTCATTCCATAACTACTTAAAATAATGCTACTTTAAAGAAAGTAGCATGTATGTCCCGTTTCTTCATTATTTTTGCACTTCAGTTCTAAGTCAACTTGAAATTAAAAGTGAATTCCACTATAACTTGATCCTATGATTCTGGACAAACGAGTGCATGTTTCATACCACTATTCATCAGTCAGTTAGTTGGAAAAACAACTATTAGCAGATCTCCTAACCAAATAAGAAAAGTTAGTTATCCTGTTACCCTTCTTCATACTATTTTCTGTGTAACCTTTTTTTCTCTATCTTTTATTGGTATTTCATTTTTACAACAGAAATACTTTGGCAAATAATTCTTTTAAGAAGCTGATACATTAACCATACATCTTCTGATTATTTTTCTGATTAAAGGTGTGTAGTATTATGATGTAGCAGTTGAAACTGAAATAGACCTACAGTGCTAAGCCCTTTACACTGTAGTAAAATACCTATTTTGAATTAACAGGGATTGGAGATTTCTAGTCAAGATAAAGTGGTAAGAGCCACTAGAATTTTTAAATAATACAGGAATCCAGAACACTTACTGATCCTGAGAAGGTACAAACCAGTGAGACTAGTGGTAGTTCTTGTATTTGTTAGGCAGTATCAGTCAAAAGGTATCAATTCCTTGGTTCTTAAAAGTTCTCTTTGTATATAAGCACCACTTATTAGATAGATTTCACCCTCTTGCAAGGCAGATGTGGCCAGACAATGGAAATAAAAGCACTCAGGATCTAAGTGTGAATAAAGCAATCTTTGTTTTCAGATGTCCCATATGGACATTCCTAAAACAGTCCACACTACACTGTCATTAATATTCTGGTAGTACTCATGGTTATGTCTCCTGTCAAGGACCTGTTAGCACCTGTCAATCCAGTAAGACTACTAGTTAATCTTTAAATTAGTATATTGACTCAATTGAATATTTTTATGCCAGTAGAGTCTTGGTTTTGTAGTATTTGCAAAATTATAGGAATGTATTATAGACAGCATGTGGTGATTTCCAATGTTTTGTCATTTAGCCAAATGGAAATGCCTTTTCAGATGAGCATTAGAGGCAGTTCTCCAACTTTTTTAAGGGTCTGTGTATTTGCTGCATCTCATCACTAAATAAGAGAAGCTGGGAATTTTTTTTTTATAAATAGATACTGTTGCTGTATTAGAATAAATTCATAGTTCAGTATTGTAAGCCTCACTCCAAGAACTGTCAGCCTCCAGTGCTTCTGAGGTATGTAGACCAAAGGCATGTCATTGAATGAATTTGGCACATACTGGTTCCTGGCTGCTGTTCATGAATAAGTTGCTGGCTTAAAGCAAATCAATTGAAAGAACTTAGTTTTTATCTGGGTAAAATACCTGAGGCTGTTAGATTTCCGTACTAAAATATGTATATTAAACTTCAAGCTATTGGCTTAAAAATATCCTTGGCCTATTTTTTTGGCTAGCTGACTTGCTTTGTTCAACCATTCTTACTTCTTCACAGATGATAATTTCTTATTAGAAATCTTAATTTTTTTTTTTAATAGAGAATTGTGTATAATTAATACTTTACAACCAAATCTCTGCCTTTTTTGGCTCTCCTTCCAGTGGAAGAAAAAAGTTCCTGCTAAGAATTTGAATAGGGTTATGGTGCTTGTATGAAAATGAGGAGTCCACTTCACTTACTTCTCTGTCTTGGCTTCTTTCTACCTACTATTTGTTTTGAAGGACAAATTACTTAATTGAAACATACATATCTAAATAAAAATAGCAGAAATACTGATTAACAGAATTTACTAATAGAGCATGAATGTCAGGCTGTCTTGTTACTTTGGTTTTAGCTTTTAGTAGTGGCCAGTTCATTTCCTGTAAATGAAGACCTGTCAGCATTTCAATCTTAAATCTTATTTTCAGAGGTTATAGCTTGGCAGTTCTATGTTTTTTTGAGCACAATATTGGCAAACAGACTTGAATTCATGATGCAAATTTTATTTTTGCAAAGCTTTTACTTTAGTGGTCTTTTCTTTCTCAATTTCTGGTATTATTTATTCAGCTCTAGATCTGCTAAATCAGCTGAATTAAAACTTCTAAAAAAGCTTTTGGCTTATAAAAATAAATTTTAACTTTTACCTTCACAAAATCAGAAAGTGAGAGCAACCATATTTTAAACCATTTCAAACAGTTGTGGTCTCCACATAATTTCTGATTTTCTTTGCAAAATAGGAGTATTCTGCCAAATACCTTTTTGTTTTATTTTAGTATGAGTTTCTGTATAAACATGTGCATAGTAGTTGCTTTTACATTCTTAGCATCTGGTAGTATTTTTCTTAGTAATTGTACTTTGTATCACTAGGCAATTCTTTCTGACATCTGATTTTTGCAAGTGTAGTGATTCAACAAAACTGAAAAATATTTAATTGATTGTGGATTGAGCAAGAAGTGAATTTACAGCAGCAGCTGGCATAAGTGTGTTGTCCCAGTGTTTTAGATCTGCATTGTTCCTTCACTAAATTATGTCTAGTGATTTCTTTCCCAGGAGCACAGGGCCTTCTATTCTGATACTCGCACAATATGAACAGTGAATGGCAAACATGAACTCAGGATTAGGTATCTAGAAATAAAGAAGTGTAATGAGGCAGTTGTAAATATTGGTAATAATTGGTAAGGGAAGGCTTATAAATAAGTTCATGTCAGCAGGAAGTGGCAGGGGAAAGAATTGTGTGGGTTTTTTTCAAATATGCCAGTGAATGTGAATAAAAGCACACCAATTAATTTTATCATGTGTAGCTGGTATAGTCATGTAAATAAAGAAATCTTGCTTTAATAAAGCACAGACATTGTCTCCTGCAGCTCTTAAGCTTGGGAGCAGAGTACTCAAATTTTGCTTCAAGATTTAGAAAGAGTAATTTTCCAATTAAATGGAGTTTTATTGAAGCATTTAATTTAATGCATTTTTTGATGCATCAGTAGTTTTTCTGATTTGCATCTCAGAACAAACAGTACTTATAAAACTACTAATCTAAAGCTTATTAAAATTTTTTAAGTATTAGAACATTACTAAAGAAAGTACTTTTCTGAATTTATTAAATAGACTGTGTGTATTTAGGAGGTATTTAATGCTGTCATGAGAGGGTTAAGGATTTCCTTTTTGATTAAGGAATTTTTTATTTAAGTAATTATTTGTAAGATTAGAGATTTCAAGCCCAAACTTGCACCAAAAATCTGCCTTATGAAGATTTTAATCTGTTAGAATCACTTTCATTTCTCCTGTTAATGTATTGAAATAGTTCAAAAAAGTCACAGGTTTATGCAGAAGCTGCAAGTTGACATGGATCTGAGAATTGACTGGAGTCTGTCGAATGCTGTAAAAAACAATAATTCAATTTTTATTCTGAAAATGCATGAGTCATAAATCACTGCATTTTTTAGAAGCATTCTGGAGAAAAATTTCCATCTTCTTCAATTGTACTTTGATTTCATTTAGGTATTGCTGTTGCTCATTGTTTTGAGTTAGGATATTGTCCTTGCTGGGCCATTCATCTCCCTACTGTTGTTGTGGACAGTAAGGATGGTGACATGCTTCTGAAGTTATTAAAACCAGGTTCCATAGTCCTGATCAAGCATTTAGGAGGCTATTTAACAAGGAATTGGAGGACTGGAAGAATTTGATTGCCCACATTGGTAATGTTGATGGAATGCCTTCTGCTGAAAAAAAATCAGGCTTGGTTGTCTTGAAGTGTACAGAAATGTGCTGTTTATTCATTATACACCTGCACCAATGTACTTGGAGCTAGTTCAGGTATAAAAATAACACAGCAAGCATTAACACTGCACTTTTTTCAGTGTAATTTAATTTGCTGGATAGTGGTAGTAGGTTAGCCCAGCAGGACACCACAGCATGTGGTTAAACTGCTACTGAGAGCCAAACTGTTACTCAGAAGCTACACAAATTTTTCTCTAGCCAAGCTGCTTTTCAGTATAAATAAATCTTTATTATCCACTGCAAAAAATAAACAATTCATTTTCTTTTTCAGTAATTTCTACCAATCCAGATGTACTGTTAGAAACAGGAAAAGAAGAGGTAAGTCTAATAAAATTTTGTTGGGAAAAAAACCCCAGTATATGCAATTGCTGCATTTTCCTATGACTGCTCCTAGGGTGGACTACTGCTAAAATACTGTGTGTTTTCCTTCAGCCATTTATGTTGTTCTAATGGGTTTTTTCTCCCCTAGTGTAACTAGTAAAATTTCTTAGCTGTAATGAGTGAGGTTTGAAACTGACTTATTGCACAAGTCACTGAATAATGCGCAATAAACAGTATTTTGCCTCTGGCCACACCATCTAATCACAGTAGCTCAACAAGCTTATCTGCGTGCAATAAAAATGATGTGATAATCGACGTCCCTGCTGCATTAGTGCTCCAAGGCCTCCTTAGGATTGGAGTCCCATTGTGCTGGGTGCCACCAGGAGACAGAAATCTTGTGCCAAGGAGACTGATGACCATGCTTTGCGAAGATTTTGCCATCATCTTCAATGTCATGCAGCAGGTTCCATTTCTAGGGCTGAAGCCTACACACTGCACTTTTCAAGATTACTTTCATTTAACATTGTGCAAGTGCTTGTGCAAGAAGATCCACTCAGAATTGTGTTTTCAAGATGATCTGTGGCTGAATTTTAATTGCTAATTTGTCACAGAATGGCTGGAGTTAGAAGGAACCTCTGGAGATAGAATCATAAGATAGTTTAGGTTGGAAAAGACTTCCAAGATGATCGAGTCCAACATCCAAATCCACTACTAAACCCTGCCCCTAAGTGCCTCACAGGATTGTGTCGAGGTGGCTTTTGAATATATTCGAAGAAGGACACTCCACAACCTCTCTGGGCAGCCTGTTCCAGTAGTCAGTCACCCTCCAGTAAGGCAGTTTTTCCTAATTTTCAGATGGAAATTCCTGTATTTGAGTTTGTGCCTCATGGTCCTTGTCCTATCACTTTGCACCACTGAAAAGAGTCTGACCCTGTCCTCTGACACCTGTCTTCAAGATATTTGTGTGTGCTTTTTTAAACAAATTGTTATAATATATTGCATTTCATACTTAATAGAAAATGATGTGATATTATGTCTTACATGGGAGAGTCAGTTATCTTAGACATCGTGTTCTGTGGCAATAATTTGCAAATAATTTGTTGAGTTCCTCCATTGGAAGAAAGAGCAAATCAATAATGTCTTGCGGGTAACATTATACTGTATTGATGGGACATAGGAATGCTATGTGACTTGAGAATATTCCTGGTCTAATGCCTTCTAGTGTCAATCACAGCAGCAAATCTGATTGTTATTAAGAGTCACTGTCAAAAAATTGTTAGGTTGCGCACTTTGATTGGCATGTTGGTCTGATATTTGAGGATTACAGGGTTTTTTTCAGATGTTGCATATATGGAGCATATTTGTTTCTGTAGCATATTTTCAGAATGTGTATTCCTTTGAGCTAAATTCTTAAGTACTCCTATTTTGTGTGGAAGCAGAAAAAATACATCCAAATCATAGGGTTATATAAGAAACATTATTTTGTAGAAGACCATAGTCTTCTAACAGGGGGCCTCATAAATTTATACAAGTATCTGAAGAGAATGGAGCCAGGCTCTTCTCACTGATGCCAAGCAGTAGGACAAGAGGCAATGGGATGTACAAGAACACAAGGAAGAGCAACTTTATTGTGCCCTGGAACAAATTGCCCAGGGAGATTGTGTAGTCTCCCTTGCTGGAGTTTGTCAGGAACAGTCTGGATGCAACCTGTGCCATGTGCTCTTGGATGACCCCTGCCTGAGTAGGGAGGTTGGACCACATGACCCACTGTGGCCTGTCACAATGGTTAAAGAAACTTCCCTGTCCAACAGTCCAGGAGCCATGGTGTCAATCACTAAGCCCATTTGCAGCAACACATCCCACACTCACACAGATCAGGTGTCCTTACCAGCTCAATTCTAGGTTTCCTTCTTCCCTTAGGCTCACACATCCGATCCTTAAAATAATTTAATCATGGCATAATAACAGAATAAGAGCTTGAGCTGGGTGCCTCTGAGGAAGGACCCAGAACAAAGGAAATTTTATACCCTCAAAGCCAAAAGGCTTTTATATCCTCACAGTGTAAACACAGGAAAGTCCAGGCATCATCAGATCCATGTCTCAATGTCCCCTCACCTGGCAGGGCCACAGGTCCCCAGGCCCCCTGTTCTACAAAGAGTAGGCAGTTCATGGCCTCTTGCCAGAGCTCAACCTGCAGCTGCACCCTGAGCTACATGCACTGAACGTACTCCTCAACACAACCCTACCCATTCTGTGATTCTGTAATGGAAGACCCCACTGAGAGTCCCCTGTTCCCTACATTCAGCAATGCCTTTAGCTCCTGACTGCAGTAGTTTTATTTCTCCATATTTCCTGTCCCAGATATGTCATAGCACTGAGGATCATTTAATTTATGTATGCAGTTAGTCTTTCTTTGATGCATCTTCATCTTCTGTACATTTTATGTGGTGCAAGTAGCATGGGTTCATTCGTGCCAGCAGATGCAATAGCTTTGACGATAGAGCCCTGGTGCTGTAGTTTTTGTCTCCTCAGCCATTCATCAGCTGAGTAGTTCATGTATGTACTTCAGGTAAAATTAAGTATTTGTTAAGCTCTGTGAGCTTCAAGAAGACACTTCTTGTGCACTTAATAAGCAACTGGTCACAGTGACATTTTGAAAAGCTCTTGCATTTTAAACTGGATTTTAATGTTTATTAAGAAATTGCAGATGATTATGTCCCCCTTTATCAGATTTATAGATGTAGCCTTACATAAAAAAAATACTACAGCCTGGGCTACCTGCAAACAGTAGTTTAATTTCTATTCTTTTATAGTTGCAGAAAGTAAAAAATGATCTTGAAATGGTGCTGTCAACAGTTCAAACAAAGAATAAACAACTGAAAGAAGATCTGAAAAGGTAATACAATAATTTGGACTTTGGAATGCTGTAAGCTTTTTTCTGTTTTTGACTGCCCAGAGAAACTATTTATCTCTTGTGCCATTTCATATTTCAAAGAGAACAGCAGTGGTATGAGGAACAGAAACAGATGCTAGAGACTCTTAGTAAAATGGAAGAAGAGGCAAACACCCAAGATGAACATCGTTCCACAAAAAGGTATTTCTACATTTTTGAGTTAGAAATTGAAGAGTTTAAATATCAACAGGAGCAAATAAGAAAGCAAACTTTTAAAGTTTGTTCCTTGTTTTGTTTAATAGATCAAATAATTGCTTAGTAATCCATATTTGAAACATGAAAACAATGCTACTATATCCTGTGATTAAAGATGTTGAATTTCTAACAATTGATAATAAGGGGGTTTTTTTACTTAGGAGGGACTTTTTAGTTACTTGATTTGATTCCTTGTTCTGTTGCTGTGTTTTTACTGTTTGAAAATTAGAGAACTCAATGAACTGAAAAATAAAATTCTGAAGTTAAAGACCTTTAAGAAAGAACTCTTGAATGCTTTGGGTGAATTCCTGGATGAACATTTTCCCCTTCCAGAGAGAAGTGAAAATATTAAAAAAACGGTAAGACTTTTCTTTATCTACTAATTTGAAGTGTTCAGTTTATGTTTAAGTAGATGCAGTATCTGTTGAACCTGCAGTTGTATTTTGAAATAAGCATAGTTTTTACAGCTGATCCTCTAGGTTTAATTTATATTTTTCAGGTTGTTTTATATTGTTTAAGGCTGTTTCCATCTGGATATTTTCTTTTCTTAATGCATATATCCCTTACCCAATGAGATGTATAGTAATATATTGTATTTCTTACTGAACTGCAAGCTATGCCAAATTTGGAAATGGTGTGGGGTTCAGTCCAAATTTTCTTTTTTTTTTTTTTTTTGCTTGACTGGGCAAGTAGATTCCTATTTTCCTTGGCAAAGCAATTTTTAATTGTCTAACAATGTTTTTGGAACAATAAGGAAAAGTGTTTATAATTACAGAGTAGTTCAGATTTTGTTCAGGCAAACTGGGTCAAAAATTATCATAAAACCTCAGGAAGAATAGGCAGCCAGGGAGTATTTTGTATAATAAATTCAAAGTGTGCAGTAAAAATAAAATTATAACTATTACTATTTGATAGATACAAAAAGCTATGAAAAAGGCAGGTTTTGATTTTGATTTCAGGCACACTTAACATTACAGAAGTAGAAATTACTTCTTTAATCCAGTTCCCTGTTATTTCAGGTAACCACATGATATAATTTCTTCAATATTATCATTGAACTCCATCTTAGAATCAATATATTTTTTTACTACTGTTTCTCCTGTGTTTTTTCTTCTAGTACCTCAGTACTCTGTTTAGAAACTGTCTCATAGCTTTCAGTCTAAATGTATCCAAGTCTAACACAGATCCACTTGTCTTCTTACACCAGAATTTTCCTTAAAATAATTCTGTTTCTTTCTTGTGTTTATTCCTCCTGATATATTTATGGCAACGATCTCATATCCTGTCTTTCTTGTTTTGCTTACTGAACTAGCAACACCTTTATGTTCTCCTGTAAGATAGTATTTTTCAATTCTCTAGCTTATCCTATTAATAACCATTGTCTATATTTGTTTTCACTTGGATTCATCTTTTTTAGAACCTTCTAAGAAACAAAATTATAAATAAAACTAGCTCACACCCATCACCAGTGCAACAAATTACACTCTTGTCTTTTTCTGTCTGTAATTTGCAGCTAATGAATCTTGATCTTGTAATTTAAAAAAAAAAAATCTTTGTTTTGCACATATTTTGCACATAAAAATACCAAGTGGAGATGTCAAGACATGGTGTTCATTTTCAAAGTATTATTCAAATATCTTATTTTGTTGAATCTTAGTTTTTCTGCATACCAATGCCTTCCTTTCCTGTTGTTAATAAATATGACACATAAGTCTCTGCATTTTAGAAACAGTCTCATGTGGAAAAGTGTCAAATGCTTTGCATAAGTCCAGGTAGATGACATCAGTTGTGCTTTCTTTTCCACAAATACTGTAACTCTTGTAGAAGGCCACCAAATTTGTTGGGTGTAAATGATCTATAGTGAAGCCATGTTGGCTGTCGCCAATTACTTTACTTAAACAAAAAAACTACTTTGATTGATTTCAACGCAAGGTTTCATCTTTCCTTAGCTTAAACTTTTCCTGAACTCTTAAACAGTCTGTTTTCTGACAGTCTTTTTCTTTCTTTCATTCTTTGTGAATTCATAGCTTTTCTATGTCTTTTGACTCGCTTGGATCGCTTGGCTTAACTACAGGTGCCCCTTAATCTGTGTCTAAGTAATTGACTGTGAAGGCAGGACAGCCAGCCATTTTTGCCATTTGTGTTTATTGAGTGTCAGAAATACAAATTTAATCACTGGCAATGAAATCAGCTGCTATGTTGGTTCAGGAAAGCACATTATTAATTTCTATTATCAGCTTGGTTCAACAGCAGCACCAATCTCTTAGCTCTGCGCATGAGTAATTCTGCTTCACTTTGTGAAAGCATATTGTGTTCACAGTGGTTCCATGTGACGGCAAATGTGCAGGGTTGATGTCTGTAGGACATGGCTGCAGCATAGTTTGAACTGCTCCAAGCCTCGCTGGTCTGGTTCCACCCTCCTTTCACCTGGCCATACATGTGGGATTGGGAGTGGGAGTGAAGACTGCAACAGAGCAGATCAGGTTGGCTTCCATTGCCATGGCCCAACACCTTTAATATAGGTAGTGACTGTAGTAATGGTGATCTTGCATTTTAATTCTTGGATAATTATCTACTTTATTTTTTTCAAGATCATAGTACAAAAAAATCAGAGGCTGAGGAATATTCTTTATGCAAATCTGATTGGAAGGGTGAAGAAGGTGCCTTTCGGGCTAAATAATGAAATGCTGAGCATTCTGCTTAACAGCTTTATAAGCATTAAGTGATTAGCGGTACTTAATTTTATTTGTAGTAATTTTGACCGGGGAAATATATCAGCAGGGGTTGTGAAGTATCTTCATGTTTCCTCTAAGAAGTTTTTTAGAGATAGGTAATGTAGATTCTATTTCCTCAGCCAAATATTGAGAGGAGGGCACATAGATAGATGTTATTGGGTCATAGCTCCAGGATTTGCAGAGTTTCCATGGAGCAGGCTCTCTCTGGAAACTGAAACTTTGGACTCTCTGCAAGTGAGACTATTACACACTGTGACTGGGAAAAAGGATTCAGAACTTGCCTTTCAGAATATTCTTCTTGCTTGTATTCTTCCTCTGTTCCAGAAGTGGAGTTTGTATAAGGTGCTGCACAGCTGGTAATATCTTAGATCTTAAATTTGTGTATTCAACAGCAATGCTGAGAAAGCCAGTGGAATATTACCTCCTTTATTTTGTTGAAACTGAAGTGCATGGGGAAAAAGAATAAAACTGGAAAATTAAAGAATCAGGTTTACCGTGCAACACTACAAGCAGATCCACAGACATTGCTGCCAAAGGAATCTCTATAGACAAATGGCTTGATTAGTTTGCTACAAAGGAAAACAAGTAATCTTCTAGTGATATTTTATCATTGCATTTTTATTCCACCAAAATTTTTAATGATTCTATTTCTTAACCTTGATAAGTGTTTTAGTTGAATTCTAAGCAAGTATTCATTGTCAAATAATGAAAAAATATTAAGGCACTATGAAATTAAGTCTTGAGTTGTGTCAAATTTCTATTATAAGCATTTATTTAAAGCTCATGAAAAATATTTTTTCCTCCAACAAATCTTGTTCACAGAAGGTTGTGTACTACATTATAAATTTGATGTACTTTTATTTAAATGTAAACACAGGTTGGTAAATGTAAAAACATTATGATCACTTTACATTAATCTCTCTTGATAATTCAAAAAATGTCACATTTGAAGTGTAGGATTTTGAACTGGTAGATTTAAATGCTACCTGTATTTCTCTCAGGAGTAAATCTAACTAAATATTTTAATCTATTGTGTACTATGCAATCAAATAATTATGTAATTATTTTGCTTTGTCAATTAACATTTTTTCTAACTGGTTTGGGGTTTTGTTAATTTGGCTGGGGGATGTTTATCTTTCCAGAGGTCTTCAGCAAAGCCAGTTGTAGAACTGATAACATTGCAAGAAATTTTAGAGGTAAGATGTTTTTACTATGTAGAGATTGGAGGAATTTTTAAATATTCACATGTAATGATGGTGATGATGATAAAGTGTTTGTTACTAATATAAACAACAGTATGTGGTATTTAGTTAAGACAGTTAATCTAAAATTGTTAAGAATGTTGTGTCTACAAGAAGAGTCTAGGGAGATCTCATAGCAGCCTTCTGGTTCTCAAAGGGGGCTTATAAAAAGACAGAGAGCATCTTTTTGTGTGGGGGGAATAGTTTTAAATTACAAGAATAGACATTTAGTTTAGCTGTCATGAATAAATTCTTTACTGTGAGGGTGGTGAGGCACTGGCACAGGCTGCCCAGAGAAGCTGTGGGTCCTCCATCCCTGGCAGTGCTCAAAGCTGGGTTGGATGTGGCTTTGAGCAATCTGATCTAGTGGAAGGTGCACCTGCCCATGGCAGGTGCTTGGAATGAGATGATCATTAAAGTACGTTCCAAATCATCCTATGAATCTAGGTCAGTTTTCTATTTTAATTCCTGTCAAAGTAAACCCCCCATTTTTACAGGAGGTGTGGCAATAATGTTCAGTTTATGCTGGAGAATGGCTCTCTTATTTCTTGATTTTACAATGTTTGGTTCAAAGAAGTTTTATGTGCTGTAGTGGCTCATGTTGGGTGAGACAAATACTATGTTTAACAAAAAAACCTGATCCATTTCATGCTCTATTTTATACTGTTTCAAGAAAAATATTTCTGAAATATACATTAACAGAAGGACTAAAGATGTAGCCTCAGAAGGACCAGTAGTCATGTGCATTAACTGGATTATTAACTCATACAAGGAAATCAGTTCATCTGATTCATGCATTTCTGATTGATTTTATAAGTATAGCACCATTGCTTAGCGTGAATTTTTAATTACAGTGCAATTTATGATTGTGAATTGCAAAGCATAATTTTCCTTCTCATCTTAAATGTAGCAATTGAAGTGAAATTTTCTGTTCCCCCTCCTTAGACAGTTCTAGATTTCTATATGTAAGATGTCCCTGGGAAAAATTCTTCTTGAGGCAAAACGTGATGTATAAAAACTTTCTGGTATTAAGATGCTCTTATCTAATCACAATGTAGTATAGTTTAAAGCCCACATTTTGGGCTTATGTCATCAAAATAATTTTACATGCTTCAAATTTCTCAACATACCTGTTAATGCCAAATTAGGCAGAGCTTGCAAACAGATCAGAAATCAGAGTGGCCACAGTCCTTACAGAAAAAGAATTTTGAAGTTCTTCTAATGCTTTAAAATTGCCCTTCATATTTTTCTGATATTGTTAATTTCCTGAAAATGTGAACATATTCACATAATGTCTTCTGTTTGGAAGAACAGATTATTTGAAAAATTCAGACTCGTTTCGAATTTCAACATCCTGACCTAAAGTGTCAGTGTCCCTTACCTTTGTATTCTGGAAGGTTTTTCTTTGTTGAGTTGTGTTGTTCTAGCTCCAAGGCCCTGTTAAATTTGAAAAATGTTTTCTGAAATGCAGATGAAGTTACAGCCATAAAAGCTATTTTGGAGTATCAAATGTCAGAAAAGACTAAGTAAAAATTTGTCTAGAATAATGCATTTGGAGCAAATTCTCACAATTGGAAGTACAAAAGATATTAACTGGAGCAATTCTTCTTCAGAATGTTCTGAAAAAGAGCAGTTGTTCGTTTGGGTCTTTTATTAGTAGCACTGGATGCAAAAATATAAAATCTGGTAGCACTAAAGGGCAAAACATATTTTGTGTTTACTGAAATTGGGACAGTATAACATTTGAGAGTTCTGAATAGAAAGATGAAATATCTAGGATAAATAGAAAGAGCACCATGGGATGCTCATTACAGATTTCATCTGTAATGTGTGCAGTACTCCTCATGAGAAATATCATGAGGGCATTAATATGATTTCCATGAACTGAAAAAGAATGACAAAACTGATTTTTTTTTAAACTCCATGAACTAATTCTGTATTTAGATACAGCATTTAACTTACATTTATTCTGGAATAAAACAGGATTCTGGTTCTAATTTTTACATCAAAAAAGATGTTATGTAGCTAATTGGAAGTCCTTTGCTTTACTTCTACTTTGAACAGGTCTCATATTTCTTCTGTAGTCCTTTATATCTTGTATTGCCTACATCACAGTAATTTGTAAAAATTTGGGTAAATGAGATAAAATCTAGCTGTTTTGTTAATTTCCTAAATCCTACCCTTTTGGTCTTCCAGATGCTGATAAACACATTAATGGCCACACCACATGAACCTTATATAACAATCAATGAGTCATTTTGGCCACCTTATATTGAGCTGCTGCTGCGATATGGAACGGTTCTGAGACATCCAGAAGATCCAAACAGAATGCGCCTCCAAGCTTTTCACAAGTAGTGTGACCTACACATGCACTTGAAAATAAAACTACACCAGTACTCTTAATTCAGGGCTAGGACATCCTTAGGTTTTCTACTAAACTTTCTTAGTATCAAACATCACTTCCTGTTGGATGATTTTTTTTTCTTCTGTATTAAATTGAATATTTAAGAACATAAAATGAGGAAAAAGAAAAAAAATCCATTTTAACTGCTTACAGTTGGCCTTCAGTGTTATATCAAGATTTGCATTTTTTTTTTATGGAAAGTTTTTTTCACTGCTTCTGTAAGATGCCAATTCATGTAATAGACAAATATGTTTAACAGTCCTTTTTAACTTTAAAAACCATATTTTTACATTACTTCTATGGTTTAGATTTCTTAGATTGCCTGAAGTAGTTTTTATTTCCTTTATTATTTTCTTGTATTCTGTAGAGGCAAAATTCAGAATAACACCACTCCTGTACATGGTCTTGCAAACATTTGGAACTAACAGAGAGGTATTCTCTCAAGAATGTGTTATGCCTTGTTTGTTTCTCAGAGCCTTTGCAAACAATTTTACTGGCTCCAAGATAAACACTTAGGAAAGCTGACACATCTTAAAGTGCAAAGTGCAGCAGATTTTGAGTCTGTGCCTTTCACTGCATGCTCCCCAAATGGCCCACTTTGTGTTATGCTATATTGCCTTACAGTATCTGTCTTCACTTTTTTAGACCTAATTTATCAAGGCTTTTAATGGGTCTCTGTTCTGTTGATCAGCTTCTAAGTTACGTCAGTTGAGAGTTACCTTAAGACTCAATGCTGGCATTCTTTACAATCTCAGTCTTTTCTGTAGCTATTTTTATTATATTGTATTGATTTTAAAAATTCTACTCTTGCTTATCTGTAGTAACTAAATTGTCCTTTATTAACCTGATTGTAGTTTACTGAGGGAGAAACGGGTGTTTTTTTAATTGATGGAAAAATAAAGAGTTGTATACTATCATAGAATGTTCTTGTGTGATAGTTTTTAGGATGGTATTTATGTGATTTGCTGGGATGACTTGTAAAGATGATGGAAGGATACATGGGAGAGGTAAGGGGAATCAGTCTAATATAAGTTCCAGGGTAATTGCCCTTTTTAGACCAATTAAATGTTAAGCAAAAAAATCATTCATCTTGTGTAGTTTTGAGTGAATGCTGTTCATTTTACCCTCACATACTCATGCTTAATCACCTCACAACTGGTGATTAAGCATGAGTATAGAATGTGGTGTGTGCTGTTGTGCATGGACGTTGACTTCTTTTTGGCTCATATTGCTTCTGTAACTACCCTCTTGTGGTGTTTTAACATCTCTTACGAGCTCTAGAGTCTGACTAATCTATACACCTCCACCTTACAGTATTTTTAATTAAGAATTCAAATAACTACATTTTTTGGCTTAGATTTATAGCATTGTCTCTTTAGGGTTTTTTCCTTCATTTGTGTATAATGCTTTGTATTCTGCTATCCTTTCACCTTCTTTATTAACACTGCTCAAATACTTCATTGACACTGGATGACTGCTTCTGTCGTGACATTAATAAGTAGAAGAAAAAATGTTAAACACTCAGTAGCCTCTTGTGTTTGAAAAGAGGAAAAATACCAACCCATACCACCCACTTCCCAAATCCAAACCCAAACCCAAAGCACTGAGGAGATAGGACAGTCTATAAAACCAGAGCTCTAAAGAAGATGCAATATTCATTATTCTTCATACCAAAATCAAAATCTCATCCAAGCAAATACCAGAATAGATATGAATGAAAGTACTTCACATAAAGTTCTACATTAAATTATGAAACTCACTGCCATAAAATTTTTTGTGAGATTACATATGAACTCTAAAAAAAAACTTAGGGAATTCAGACTTGTGATTATGTAAGAAAATTGGCAGTCAGCAGGTTCAGAAATCTCTACCCTACTGATTGTTGGACCTTGAGGAGATACACATAGGTATTCACTGAGATCCTCCTGCAACTCCACAATATCTTTGGCATTCTCTGAAACCTTCCTGCTAAGGCCCTGGATATGCTCAGAACTCAAAGGTTCAGTGTAGATCTTTTACCTCAAGAGGGATTGAATCAGTACAGCAGAAGAAAAGCTGTAGAAAGAGATAATCCATTTTCTCTCATGGCCTAAAATGCATTGCCAGTTTTTAAGAGAAGCTGGTTTAGACTGAAACAGAGCTAGCTGAAAGCTGTAGCTCCTAGAAAAATCCTGACAAGTAAATTGAAGCAAATCAAGGCAGTGATGAGGAACAGATCTTCCTCATGAAAAAGCTAGGGGTAAGCTGTTTCATCAGTACTTTCAACAATCAGGAACATTGGGGCGTATGTCGAAAGAGTAGGACAATTTCTCCATTTTTTGTCTCCATGCATGTCTAAGTAACAGCTCTTTGTTTAGAATTAACACATCTATTAAATGCTAATATTGTAACTCCATGTGCATTCCATGAAATAAGGATTTGTTTAACTTACCATCAGTTTTTAACTCTACAAAGGTAATGTTAAAAAAAAAAAAGCTAGGATGTTAAATGAACACTTGGAGCTACCAAGGCTGAGTCAGATGGCAAACTGATCTATGAGCTGGCCATGTGTTCTTGTGGCCAAGAAGGGCACTGATATCCCAGGTACAAATAGGAAGATAAATGCCAGTCTGCCTGTGCCTTACTTCTTTCCCTTTAGTTGACCGGCTGTTCCCTACTCAGCCATGCCTGTCTAGAGAGAATCAGGTAAACCTAAATCTGTGTGTTAAAACCCATGCAGGTCAAGACAGATGTCATGATAACAACTTGCTAAAGGACAGATGTCTTTGATTTCAGTCATTGCTCAATATGGAAGTATTGTACTTGACTGGGTCTATTTGATTAGGCCTATGTCTCTGGAATATTGGCACTGCTTAAAACCTCTCATAGCTCTGCTACTGCACAAGATAAGCAGGCAGCTTCTCCATCTAACATATGGCATGCCATGATCTCCATATAACATGCCATATTTTCCCAGTATAGAGCTGATGGTTTTAGTATGGTTAAGAATAAGATGTCAGTCACAATTGTGTCACCCATCAGTCAGGGCATAATTCATGGACATCAGTCACCTGCTGAATCAGAGGCCAAGCCTTGGGGACTGGTGCTTTCCTCTGTGACTGTTTCAGTAGAAAATCTCACCCCACGGGAGCATTACTTGCCATTCACATTTTGTGTGGTCTAGACATCAGACGGGCATTTACGTGAAGAGGAAAACAATTACTCATTATACAGTAATGATTCTTCTGGAACATGCATGCTGTGCAGAGCCCCCAACTCTTCTTGCTTTTTGGAATACATCAGTACAGCAAACTTCTTATTGTGAGAAAATTGATCTAGCAACAGGAAGACCTTCTTGCATGCAGCATTATGAGGTTAAGGAAGAGCAGACCATACCTGCCTTCACAAACTCTGTAAAGGACTGTTGGGACAAACTTACTGATGTGATTTTCTAGTGAAATAACTAAATTGCTCTGCAGATTTTCAACTTTTGAATGTGGCATTAAATGCAACTACTATATTTATCTGCATTTTGCTGCATTGGAAAAAAATCTGATTTTTAGAGTTGGGCATAAAAGTTTCTGGATGTAAAGTTTTGGCAGAAATATACATGAGATTTGTTTGTGGTTTGAGAGAGTGCAGGTGGTGCTAATGAAGACTGCTGTAGCTGGTTACAGACATACAACATAACCTTGAAAAAGTAAGCCTGTATTGAATTCTTGAATATTCGTTAGTATTTTGGTAAAATGACACTATATTTTCTGTTTCTTAGATTGTATTTGAAGCTTTTTTTAAAAAAGCATGTGATAGCAGTCTTGTAGCTGTTTAAATCTTGAAGTCATGTTTCATAGTTATGTATTCACAAAAGATAGCCAGTCCATGTATTTTCTGAGAGAAAGTTACTGGTTTCAGTGTTTTGGTTTAGTTTACTGGATTTACTCTGAGATGAGTTTTTGTAGTTCTTGGTTGGTTGGTAGTTCTTTTGTTGATTGTTTGGTTTGGTGTGTGGTTTTTGGGGGGGGAGGGTTATGGGGTTTTTCTGTTTTTGTTTGTTTTGGTTTTGTTTTATTTGCTATTTTGGGGAAGTAGGGTTTTTGTTTGTTTTTTCTGGGGGGTTGGTTTTTTGTTTGTTTGTTTTTTCGGGGGGGGATTCTTTTGTTCTTGTTGCTTTTTTACTTTATTTGCTTATTTATTTATTTTGCTTCAAACTGTTTTAGCACAAAATAGTTTGATCACAATACTTCTACTTATTTCCAAGCATGACATTCTAGTGATTAAGACAATGAGACTCTTTATTTTGTGCATATTATCAGGTAATACACCATGCTTTAGTAGATTGTTTCCAGGTTAAACAATGAGCATTCCAAGATAACTCAGCAGTGCCAAACTACTCGTAATTATAATCAGTCATGGTTACAAGAAGTTCTTTGTTCTGCAAACGTTTCAAATTCTGTACTTCAGAAAATTTATTGTGTTAAATGAAACATAATATTGCCTTCTCTATTTGGCAACAGATGCTGCTTGCAGGTGCTTGCAAATGAGCTTTTGATTATAGCTAGCCAAGACAAATGTAATTTTGGTGGTATTCCTCTTCTAGTTTTAATTTAGGTTTCATTAAATTAGTTGCTGGACATAGTTTCAAGCAGAAAAACTTAAAATACAAACTAAACTAGATAAGTGTTGCAGTTTACTTGATAAATAACTAGTCCATTCATTTCCTTGGCAATTGTTTGGTCAAGTTGCCTTAAGATTATAAAGTGGTTGTGGTTTATTTCCTCTAATAGAACACTAGACCATTTTGATTGGTGATGAGGCAAGTAATTATTCTTGGTGACATGATCTAGACACATCTTTACTAGAACAGTAACTTATCCACAGAAACAAATTACAGTGCTCAAAGCTGATAACTGTCATAAAAGTTAATATTCTATTGCTTTTATTTAACAGACTGATTAATTGTATTACTATTTACACTGACTATAAAACTCTTACAGTTATTAATCTATATTAAATTTTGCAAAAGAACAAGCTTACAATGCTACTGTGTATGTGTAACCAATTGCAGTAGTGTGTAAGTTTTTATTTGAATGGGCAGCATGCTTCTATTTCAGTATAATTTCCTTCTTTTTTTGTTTCTATTGCACTCTTAAAATGTTTTGTTTTGTCTGACTCATTGCAATGAAAGTTTTGTTAGTTTTGGGAACATGTTACTTATAGTCCTTCTATAAAGGTGAACTGCAACACTAAAAAACAAAGTGATTGTTTTGTTGTATTTAAAAGAAGAATCCAAAGACGGGTTAATGTGAATGAAGCTGCTGACACAGAAAGGGAGCAAATGTGTGTTTCATAACATAAGAGGTGAAACTCTTCAGCTGAGCTGAATTTAAGGTTAGTTGGTCTATTCAGAATAGTTCTCCTACCTGTTTTGCAAATTAAAAATTAATCTAGACTTTATCAGGTAGTTGCCAGATGGCTCTAAATGCAGGAGAAGCCCTGATTGCAAACAGGAGCTTAGTTTTAATGCTCTCGGCTTATGAAGGTTAAGGCTACACAGTCAATGCATTCTTTGACTGAGTGCAAGCTTGACAAAAGTTCTGTAACTGGATCAAAGTTCCTTGTATATGACAGGATTCTGGCAACATTGCATATAATCTATTATTTGGGAAGACAAAATATTGAAGAACTGGTGAGAGTATTATTTTTATACTCTCACATAATTGCATATGTGAGGTTCCCAGCAGAATTCTGCTAAGAACAACACAAATTTGAATGTAAATTTCCCTTTACAGCTAGAACTGATGTGGACAGTAACAACAAAGCTGAATTTAAAAAGCATTTTCAAGTCTCTGGACTGCTAATTTAAGAGATGATTAACTAAGAAAGCAAGCTCTCAGGTATGGGTTACAGTTCAAGAACACTGAAGCTGAGAATAACAACTGT